TTCCGGCCTTTTTCGCAGCAGAATGGGGTTGCTGAGCGCCGCATTGGCTTGGTCATGGAGGTCGCTCGTACCTCCATGGTCCATGCGGCTGCCCCCCATTTTCTGTGGCCGTTTGCGGTCTGCTACGCTGCGCATCAGCTCAAACTCTGGCCCCGTGTCTCCTTGCCGGAGACCTCGCCCACACTGCTGTGGACGGGGAAGGTTGGCGATGCGTCGCGTTTCCGGGTCTCGGGTGCTCGTGCCTTTGTCCGCGATACCACCGCGGACAAGCTCTCCGCCCGCGCTGTTCGCTGTGTCTTCCTTGGCTTTGTCCCTGACGCACCTGGTTGGCAGTTTTACCACCCCACCTCGCGCCGTGTCTTCCCCTCTCAGGACGTCACGTTCGACGAGTCGGTTCCCATTTACCGTCTCTTCCCCTACCGCACTGCCCCTCTCCCCCCCCCCCGCCGCTCTTCCTCGCTCCAGGTGCTCCCCAGGTAGATCCCCTCCCCGCTCCCAGTCCTGCTCCTTCAGGTGTGTCTCAGGTAGACCCTCCTCCCTTGTCTGCGCCGGTTGAGGTCACTGGTGACTCAGGTCCGGCTGGGGGTGGTCCTGCTCGGGGTGCTGCTTCTGGGGGTGCTGAGCCTGGGGGTGCGGAGCCTGGGGGTGCTGAGCCTGGGGGTGCGGAGCCTGGGGTGCTGAGCCTGGGGGTGCGGAGCCTGGAGGTGCTGGGCCTGGGCGTGAGGAGTCTGGGGGTGCTGAGCCTGGGGGTACTGAGTCTGGGGTGCTGCACCTGGGGGCGCTGAGGCGTCTGGTGAGCAGTCTCCCTGGAGCGGCCGTCTCCGTAGTCGCTCCGCTGGTGCCTCGCCACTGCACTCTCGTCGTCGTCTCCCTCTCTCCCCACAGCAGCTGCGTGAGTGGTACGTTAGCCGTCAGGGTCGCGCTGCTGGAGCTAGGGGCCCTGCTGCTGGAGGCGCTGGAGCTGGTGACTCTACTACTGGTGTTGTTTCTACTGGAGTTCCTGGAGCAGCTGGTCCCGGAGGTGCTCGTACTGGAGGTACTGGAGCTGCTGGGTCTTGAGGTCCTGCTGGACCTGGAGGTGCTGCTGTCGACTCTGAGGTTGGGGGCCCTGGAGCTGGAGGTGCCGGCTCTGGGGGTCCTACTGCTGGTGGCGCTGGAGCTGGAGGTTCTGGAGCTGCTGCGGGTGCTGGCGCTGGAGGTTCTGGAGCTGTTGGAGGTGCTGGCACTGGTGGCGCTGGAGCTGGAGGTTATGGAGCTGCTGTGGGTGCTGGCGCTGGAGGTTCTGGAGCTGCTGCGGGTGCTGGCGCTGGAGGTTCTAGAGCTGTTGGAGGTGCTGGCGCTGGTGGCACTGGAGCTGGAGGTTCTGGAGCTGCTGCGGGTGCTGGCGCTGGAGGTTCTGGAGCTGTTGGAGGTGCTGGCGCTGGTGGCGCTGGCGCTGGAGGTTCTGGAGCTGCTGCGGGTGCTGGCGCTGGAGGTTCTGGAGCTGCAGGAGGTGCTGGAGCTACTGGTGCTGGTGTCACCTCACTGCCGCGACTGTTCTTCGCTCCGCCGTCACCTTCGTCTCTGCCACCGCCTGGCTCCGTGCTCCGCCAGGTTCGTAGCCTCACGTCTTCTACTGGTCTTCCGTTACAGCCAGGCTCACCGCTGCCTGCTCCTGCTCCTTACACTGAGCTGACAGGCGGTCTTGCTGAGCGTCGTGAGCCTGCGTCTCATCCTGTCTCGCCTGTTCGCACTGTCCGCACTGGTCGTACTGGTCGTCGTGTTCCTCATGAGCGTCCGCCGGCTGTCCCCGGCACACACCTCATGGCCCTGCGTCCTTCCTCTGCATCGCAGCGTGTTCCCCTGCCGCCCCCTCCTGCGTCTTCTCTGCCTGACGTTCCAGAGCCTGAGTCTGACCGCGCTCGTGCTGCTCACCCTACTGTCACGCGTCTGCTAGCCACAGTTGTCACTGACCCGTCGTTTGAGTTTGCTGCTGCGTCTGCCTTAGTCGCTGAGCTTGTTGACTTTGCTGCTGCCTCTCGTCTAGACTACGCCGCTAGTCTTGTTGCTGAGTCTGAGTCTGTCTGTCCTCCGTCCGTCGGGGGTGAGTGTGCTCTTGGCACGGACGTCCTTGAGGACAGGCAGGAGGACCTTGAGTGTCTTGCAGCCGCTGCGCCTCATCTCGTGTCCATGCTGCTTGCCCCTGAGGGAGACCCGGATGCTCCAGACATCCCGACCCCGCGCTCTTACGCTGAGGCGATCGCGGGTGAGTACTCCTCTCAGTGGCAGACAGCCATGGACGCAGAGATGGCATCCTGGAAGTCCACAGGCACTTACGTCGACGAGGTTCCCCCACCTGGGGCGATCATCGTCAGTGGCATGTGGATTTTCAGGGTGAAGCGGCCGCCGGGTTCTCCGCCTGTCTTCAAGGCGCGTTACGTTGCACGAGGTTTCAGTCAGCGAGAGGGAGTAGACTTCTTCCATACTTCTCCCCCACCCCGAAGATGACCACTCTTCGGGTGCTGCTGCACGTTGCCGCTCAGCGTGACTACGAGCTTCACTCTCTTGACTTCAGCACAGCCTTCTTACAGGGCAGCCTGCACGAGGAGATCTGGCTGCGCCGCCCACCTGGCTTCACTGGGTCGTTCCCTCCTGGTACCCAGTGGAGCCTCCGGCGGCCGGTCTACGGTCTCCGCCAGGCGCCACGTGAGTGGCACGACACACTGAGGACGACACTTGCGGCTCTTGGGTTTGCTCCTTCGACTGCTGACCCGTCGCTGTTTCTGCCCACCGACACTTCGCTGCCGCCGTTCTACATCCTCGTGTACGTCGACGACTTGGTCTTTGCCACTGCTGACACTGAGGCTCTCGCCCTGGTGAAGTCGGAGCTGCAGAAGAGACACACGTGCACAGACCTGGGTGAGCTGCACAGCTACCTTGGCTTGCAGATCACCCGGGACAGAGCACGCCGCACTTACTCAGTCACACATGGTGCAGCAGGTCCTTCAGCGCTTCGGCTTCACCTGGTCCTCGGCACAGGCCACTCCTCTTGCTACAGGTCACTCGCTCTCAGCTCCACCTTCGGACGAGTCCGTAGAGCCGAGTGGTCCTTACCCAGAGCTAGTGGGCTGCCTCATGTACCTGATGACCTGCACTCGTCCTGACCTTGCGTACCCTCTTGGCCTTCTGGCTCGCTACGTGGCTCCTGGTCGGCACCGAAAGGTGCACATGGATGCTGCTAAGAGGGTACTGCGCTACTTGTGCAGTACATCGGGCATGGGGCTCGTGCTTGGAGGACGGGGCGGCGTTGTCCTCACTGGGCACTCGGACGCTTCTTGGGTTGACGACCAGGCTACGCAGCGGTCGTCACAGGGTTACACCTTCAGCCTTGGCTCTGGCTCTGTTTCTTGGCGGTCTACACGCTCGTCCTCTGTTCTCGGCTCCAGTTGTGAGGCTGAGATCTACGCCACAGCCATGGCTGCACAGGAGTTACGCTGGCTCACCTACCTGCTGACCGACTTGGGAGAGCGGCCTCGTTCTCCTCCAGTGCTGTACGTCGACAACAAGGCCGCCATTGCCTTGTGTCAGGAGCACAGACTGGAGCACAGAACGAAGCACATCGCTCTGCGTTACTTCCTGGCTCGAGAATTGCAGCAGCGTGGTCAGCTTCGTCTTGCTCACGTGGCCACTCGGGCCAACACTGCTGATACATTCACCAAGGCGCTTCCGTCTGGTGATCATCAGCGTTTCTGCACTCTGTTAGGCCTTGTGCCCACGTTTCCTTACTTGTTGTAGACTTTGCTTGTCCTGTGATCTATATATATACCTGCATGCTTGCTCTGCTAGGTAGAGATCACTGTGCTGTTGTTGTTGCATATATACCTCTGCATGTGAACTGGCCTTGTGGCCCTTTGCTTGTGCTCAGTGTGTGTGGTGACGTTGTGATCCACCCTGAGCTTGCTGTGGTTCTCTTGACTGGTCTTGTGACCCCTTGCTCTCCCCCACTTTGCCTATGCGGGTGTGTCAAAGTATATGCATGTTATATATGTGTAGGCTGTAGAAGGGGTAGCCAATATGGGGTACAGCCCCTTTTAGGGTTTCATACTTGTACCCAACTCTTTCATAGTTGATTCATTCCTGTCTCTAGATTCTAACAGTAATCAGGTTCAATTCCAACCAATCGCGGCTGCTGCAAGACACAGAGAGCCCCCAAGGGCTGGGAAGGAGCCTGTATAGGAGCCAGTAGTTGAGCGTGCTCCTGTAGAGAGTCATCAGTCAGACTCTGATTCAGAGAGTTGAAATGTTTGTTCAATATCTATAAAAGTGATCAGCCTAAAATTTGTGTGTAACGCTGAACGTTCAGCGTAAAAAATATAGTGTAGTCTGAATTTTCAGCCTGAAAATTGGAGGCAACTCTGACAGACAGAGTTCAGAGAGGGGTGCACGCTGATCGATCAGCGTGTCCCAAAACGAATCTAGGGGCCGGATTGCAACTTCACCTTTCTACTTGCTATGTGTTCATCCTACCGTATCTGTGATGCAATTACTTTAAACAAAATGTTGGACCATTCCAAATGTTCAAGTTAATCATATACAGCATGCTGCTTGTACTGAACGCTGAACTGTACAGAGGACTTTGCGGTGCTGTTCTGGCAGTAGCGTGGGCTGGAATAATTGCTGAGTCACCACGATGGAAGCTCGAGCATAAGAAGCTGACCGCAGATCCCATTCACAAAAACGTAAAAATAGCAGCACCAGATGATGGCGACAAGATTCCATGTGGTAACCAGAAGATTACAGAACGAATGAACTTCTTCGCTGATGGGGCCGAACACATGTGGCTGGCTGGCACCTCGTGGCAAAAGACATTCCCTTGAACCTCCACGCCTGTGAGGAGAATTTCACGTAAAATATTTTCTTGCAAGGACGAACACAAACTGAGGAACGACCTTGTCTCGCAGGGTCCTCGAGTCTAGCTATACTTGTGAGGCGCGTCAAAGCTCCCTTCCCCACCTGCACCAATGGCGTACGGTTGCCCTTTCGCCGCGGCAAGCAGTAACGCCGGCGGCGCGTCCCGCGGTGCAGCGCGCTGCCCCATTTTCCTGCTAGTAGGCGCCGCGATTTGCGCCGCGTTCACCGGGCTGCAGGAGGTGGTGCCGGCGGCGTGGCTGCAGCAGCTGCTGGTGCTCCGCTTCTTCTCCGCGGCGCGCGTGGGCGACCGGCCGTGGCGGGACGTCGTCGCTCTCTCCGTCGCCGCCGTCGCAACACAGGTAGCGTCAGCAAGTAGCCCCCAAATGAACGCCACATCACACGTCACACGCACGCAGAGAGTTTGTTAAACGAATCGCTGCAGCTTTACAGAATTTCCGCCAACACCCTCGGCGGGATAGCAATCACACCATGGCTGGCGGTAGTACTTCTGAGTATTTCCTCTGATCTCGCGCTCGCCGCGTCCTTCAGTAGCCCCTTACTCTTCCGACACATTCCCTGAGACAGTCCCCGACGCGACGCAGTTCACTTTTGAGTCAACCGAAAAGTTCGCTCGCTCGCGTCCTTCAGTAGCCCCCTACTCTTCCGATACGTTCCCCGAGACAGTCCCCGACGGGGACAGTCCCCCAAGAGGGTCTCTAAAAGGGTCTCTGAGAGGGTCCCAGAGAGGGTCCCAGAGAGGGTCCCAGAGAGGGTCCCAGAGAGGGTCCCAGAGAGAGGCCTTGAGAGTGTTGACTCAGTTTACTTAATTGACCCAGGGAGCTTCCGCAGGGCTAGGTGGCAGTGATGTCTTGGCAGATAAGAACTCGTGATGTCTTTGTACGGAGACAGCTGATGGTGATGGTGGTGCTGCTGATGTTGATGTTTAAGGCGCATAGTGGGCGAGATAGCCCACCGCGCATAGTGGTTGTGTTGTGGCTGCTTCTCACCGAGCGTGTTTTGCGTTGTGGTGGGACCCACGGCACACACGCTCGCCTCCACGCTGCTCGTGGCCCGCAATGCGCCTGCATCTGAGGCGCTTCAAAAGCAGACGCCCACATATGCACGTGTTTAGAGGGCCCTACGACAGCAAGGGCCCTCGCGACGTACTTGACTTGGCAGGTCGGCGGCTAACGACCAAGACTACTCGGCACCGACGCTGTGAATGGTGACGGTCACTCGTTGACTGAGTGTAACTACGAACAGCTGCATAGGAATCGGTGCAGGGTGGCGTGAGTCTTGGGAGTCAGGTGTGCTTCCTTGTGAGTCACGCCACTCCTTGTAGTGTTGGCTGGGGTGGCGTGCACGGAATGCTTTCGACGCTGAGTTGGATGGGGAATTCGGCGGGGCGCGTTCACCCACCTGCACAACACTTTCGTGTGGGTTGGGTTACTCGCAGCGCCTCGCAACCTTTGTGAAACTCTTGTCTGCCTATATATGCATGTGTGTTTGCTCTTGTATCATCAATGATATTACAATTCTACTATCTCCAAATGCGACTTGGATTCCTAGTTCAACGCTAGAGACAAACGCTACCGAAACTCTACTGAGTTGCTGGCGCAACACCATTCATATAGCAGAAACTCTCTCGTTGTCGCTACGCTCTCTAATATATTCCTTCTGCACGCCCCTCCACGCCCCATGCGCAGGCGTGCGGCATGACAGTGGCGTATGCGGGCATGTATGCGGTGGGCCCCACGGCGCACACGCTCGCCTCCATGCTGCTCGTGGCCCGCAACGTGCTGCCCATGACCGCCGTGCTGCTGCTGCCCTGCCTCGCTGACTCGCTCTTCCGCTTCACCTACAGGTGCGTGTGTGTGTGTGTGTGTGCGTGCGTGCATGTTTGCGGCTTTCTGAGTCTTGACCCCGCAGGCTTTCACACCACCTCCACCCGCTCATCTTCCCCCTCGTCTCTACCTCCATCTGGTCTCTCCTCACGCTCCTCTCGCCCTTCGGTGCAACAGCCCACCCCCTCTACTCACCTCAGCCCTTCCCCCCCTGAACCCCCTTCCTTTCCCCCACAGGCTCTCTCAGAACCTGCATCCGCTCGTCTTCCCCCTCGTCTCTACCTCCATCTGGACGCTCCTCACGCTCCTCTCCCCTTTCGGCGCCACAGCCCACCCCCTCTACTCACTCCGCTCCGTCCTGCCCCTCGTGCAAGCCACTGCGTGGGTGGGCATGGATGGGGTGCTGCTGGTAGTCGCGTGGCTGGTGGCGGGGGTTCATCAAGTGATGTGGGAGCAGGATGCGGTGGGGAGGGGCGAGGAGGGGTGGAGGAGTGGCGGTGGGAGGGTGGTTGGGGAGGAGAGGGAGGAGGGGTACAGTCAATTGTGGGGTGAGGGCTGTAGTGGTGGTAATGCAGTGAGGGATGGAGGAGGAGAGCGAGAAGGAGGCGGAAGCGAGGGAGTGAGGGGAGGAAGGGACGAGGGGAGAGGAGGAGAAGGAGCAGGTGGGGAAATCAGGGGTAGGGGAGGCGGCAGCGGGTGGAGCCATGTGCAAATCAGTGCGGCACTGCTGGTGGTGCTGATGGCAGCAGGGTCGGCAAGGGAAACCGTGCTTTCATCCAGGTAGGTACCACCACTGCACTGGTAAAAGGAAACCGTGCACGCTGCACTGCTCATGCTGCTGTGTTACTTCCAGCTATCCACTCCGCGTGCATTGAGGTGTATTTTGAGGCGCCTCAAAATACAACCGTGCACGCTGCACTGCTCACGCTGTTGCGTTGCTTTCAGCTATCCACTCCGTTTCCTTGGCCGTTTCCTTCATATCCTGAACTTTACCGAACTAACCCCCGATGAGCTTATTCCCAACCAATTGGACTAGTATCAGTTCTTGCACTACTGCGTTTGAATTTCCCACTGAGGTTGCTGCACCTCCCCTCCCTCCTTTTCTTTCCCCCCAAAAAAACTCTCTCTTGCCTCTCCCCCCAGCCCCACTACCCTCCCCTCTTCGCTCCACTCTCCCTTCTCCACCATCCACTTTAACTCCCATCTCCCACCACTGAACGCCACTTTCCCTGCACTTTCTTCCCCTCCCTCTCCCTCTACCTCTCCTTCTCCCTCTCTCTCTCCCTCTCCCTCTCCCTCTCCCTCTCCCTCTCCCTCTCCCTCTCCCTCTCCCTCTCCCCAACCCCTTAACCATCTCTCCCCTTGCAGTTTCTTCCAGAAGCCACTCGCAGACACCATGGTCCCTTCCGTCCCTGTCTCCTGCATCCTCTCGCAAGCTGCCACCAACAACATACCTCCCCAGCCTCCCTCCTCGCTCTCTCAAGTTACTCAACATACTGCTTCTGCTGATGCAGCAGGGGCTAGGCAGCTAATGCAGGGGGGAGAGGGGGGAGTAGGTGGGAAGCTGGGGGGAGTGGGGGAGGGAGATGCGGAAGGGGAAGTATCGTCAGCAGCAGGAGCCATAGCAGGAGGAGAAGCAGCAGCAGAAACAGCAGAATCAACACCACCAGCAGCAGCAACAGCAGCAAGGGAGACATGGGAGGAGTGGGAGGCATGGCGAGTGGCAGGCATAGCACGCATGGTGCAGCAGACACAGCAGAGGGCGAGAGCAGGCGACGCATTGATTCTCTGGTCAGAGGCGGCAGTGATTCTGCTGCACGCCCATGAGGAGGCCACCCTCCTGGCTGATCTCGCTGCTATTGCCACCGCTGCCAGTGCCAACCACACTGCCGCTGCTGCTGCTGCTACCGCTTCAGCTGCTGCTGCTGCTGCTGCTGCTGCTAGTGCTGGTGCCGATGCAGCCTTGTCTGCTCTTGGGCCATTTATCGGCGCGTCGTATATGAAGGTGGGTGCTTGATGGAGTGGGGTGAGGTGAAAGGGCTGTACAGGTGAGAGGCAGTGCGGGTGAGAGGCAGTGCGGGTGAGAGGCAGTGCGGGTGAGAGGCAGTGCGGGTGAGAGGCAGTGCGGGTGAGAGGCAGTGCGGGTGAGAGGCAGTGCGGGTGAGAGGCAGTGCGGGTGAGAGGCAGTGCGGGTGAGAGGCAGTGCGGGTGAGAGGCAGTGCGGGTGAGAGGCAGTGCGGGTGAGAGGCAGTGCGGGTGAGAGGCAGTGCGGGTGAGAGGCAGTGCATCTGATACACATAGCGGACGCATTTCCTCACTCCCTTCTGCTACACCCATCACCTCTCCCTCCCCCGCAGCCCATCGCTCCAGGGCGATTCACCAACTCATTCGCCCTCCTCTCCCCCTGCGGTACCCCCATACTGCGCAACAAGACACACCCCGTGCCCTCTGTAGAAGCCAACGTGCTGCCAGGTCAAGGCACCCTGCCCGTGGCAGACATGCCGCTGGGGAGGCTGTCCAGAGACACATAGCGAGCCAACGCTTTCCTTCCCTCCCATCTGTAACCCCCATCACAAAAGCCCCTTCTGTTGCCCCCACCCCTCCGTGTTTGTCCCCCTCCCCCCAGCTCATCTCCCCGGCGCAATTCACCAACTCATTCGCCCTCATTGCCCCCAGCGGCGCCCCCATTCTCCGCTACAACAAGTCACACCCCGTGCCCTCCGTGGAGAGCAATGTTTTGGCAGGCAGTGGCACACTCCCCGTGGTGGACACGCCTCTTGGGAGGCTGTCTGTCGCCATCTGCTTCGACCTGCAGTTCCCTGCTCTCATCAGCCAGGCGGGGAGACAAGGGTGAGTGGGGGACTGTGCGTGCATGTGGGTGGGTTAAAGGCCTACCCAGTACTGTGGTGAAGAGTAATAGTAGTGCCAATCCCACCAGTTGCCCGCCTGATGGTGCCACTTTTGGGGCGCCTCATGCTGATGGTAGAACCTAGCCAGATGGTAGAATCTAGCCAGATGGTAGAATCTAGTCAGATGGTAGAATCTAGCCAGATGGTAGAATCTAGCCAGATGGTAGAATCTAGCCAGATGGTAGAATCTAGCCAGATGGTAGAATCTAGCCAGATGGTAGAATCTAGCCAGATGGCCGCCTGATGCTGCCACTCACTCTCCCCGTGGTAGGTACCCCTCTGGGGAGGCTGTCTGTGGCCAGCTGCTTCGACCTGCACTTCCCTGCACTGATTAGCAGGGCAGGGAGGCAAGGGTGAGGCAAGGGTGCATGTGAGGCTGAGGAACGGGTGAGTTGCGTGCCTGTGCGTATGTGTAAGTTCACTCACTTACTCACTCCAATGAGTGTGGAAAAGGCCAAAGAAGTCACTCCGTTGCTGGTCAAACTTTGTCCCCTGCCCCCACTCACACCCAACCACATCCACACCTCAGGGTGGACATTCTGCTGCAGCCCAGCTGGACGTGGGGTCCCATAGTTGTGCCACGCCACGAGCCATGGCAAACAGTCCCTCCCCTGCTGATCCGTCTCCCCCATTTCCCCTCCACCCTCACCACCCTCAGAGTGGACATTCTGCTGCAGCCCAGCTGGACGTGGGGCGCCATTGGCCACGTGACACTCCAGACGGATGCAGTGAGGGCAGCAGAGAACGGGCTCACACTGCTGCGCTGCTCCTCCATTGGGGTCTCGGGTGTGGTCTCCCCGTACTACCGCACCCTTGATGCACAGTGCGTGCTTTTTGAGCCGTCTCAATAACCTGCGCAGTGTGTGCTGCTGCTGCTGCTGTCGCTGCCGCCGCCGCCGCAGCCGCCGCCGCCATGAATATGCATCACGTGTGTTCTGTTGTAACATGTCAGATTTTGCCTGCACCAAAAAAACATCAGCACCGCACACCTCTTGCAGTTGAATTCATCCATCTTCTCACACAGTCACCCATCTTGCTCACAGGATCACCCAGCTCCCCACACGCATTTACCCTTTTGCCCCTCCTCCCTGCTCCTTGCGTTTCTCCTCACTCTCCCATGCCTCTTCAGGGAAGGACTAGACACTGGGCTACTCACGATGGTACTGCCCCTCCAGCCCCATGCCCCAGCTCTCTACCCCTATGCTGGCCTCCCTATGTCGCTCCTCCTCCTCTCCCTCACTCTCCTTGCAGCATTCCTCGCCATTGCCCCTCCCTTCCTCTCCCTCCCCTTCTGCCGCTGTCTTCCCAACTCCGTCTGCTCGCTGCTGCCTCACCATCTCTGCTTGGCCGGACAGCGGGAGGAGAGGGAGGGGAAGAAGAGGAAGGGATAGGGAGTAAAGACGAAGGGCTGGTCTGTAGCACTGTAAGGTTGCACAGAAGGGGCGGCTGGGATGAAATTGCAGGTGCCAGGCTGGTCTGCTGTCCGAGTTTTGCGTTTAGTCAACAACTGCAAAGAGCAATGTGTTTATTAATATGCAGCAGCAGTAAAAATCATACAAATCACGACTTTCTAAAATTTCTGTGATGAGGTATAGGTATAAGCACGGGCATGTGCTCATGTGTTATCAAACCCGGAACCCGAATTTCAAAACAGGGTCGCAAACTGGGCCTAGTTCGAGCACAAGTACATGGCTACCTGACTGGCCCCCGTGGGACTAAGCATTGGGTTTGAACGAGCACGGGGCCGAAGGCGAGGTTGAGGGGGAAGGGGGAGGTGGGGGAAAGGGGAGGGGCGCAGGGCGAAGGGGAGGTCACGATGGAGGGGGAGGACGAGGTGGAAGGCAAGGGGGAGGGTGGGGGGGAGGGCGAGGGGGTGGGTGATGGCGCGGGCAAGTGCGGGGGCAAGTTCGAGGTCGGCGGCGACGGCGATAGCGAGGAGGGGGGGAATGTCGAAGAGAAAGGTCCCGCCCACGCTTGGGCGCAGCCGATCGTGCCGTCAACCAGGAGAGCTCGAAAAAATGGTCCTCGAAGCCTTCGCTGGTCGACAGAAGTAGTGGTCGAGCAGGCCCTGTTCGACGGGACATGGTCGATGTCAATGGTCGACGAGCCCGTCGAGTGAAGCTGGCCGACGAGTACGTTGAGAAGTGCTGTTCCACAGAACAGTGTCGACCTGGTCGACGGAAGTTGCTCGACTGCGAAACTTGGTAGGTGGCCGAGTTTTGCCCCTGAATGCATTAGCGAGGTCGACCTGTGCGGTGGCATCCTAAGGTCGACGTGGTGTGTCTGGCGCGACTGTCGACACATGGTGTAGAGTTGTCAGAATAATAAACGCGAATGGATTGGACTAGCAGCATGCAGGAGTACAAGTAGCAAACCCTTATTGGGTTGTACCCCATATGGGCTACCCCACTACAGCCTACACAACATGCAGCATATAAGTTTGACACACCCCCATAGGCAAAGTGGGGGAGAACAAAAGGTCACAAGACCAGTCAAGAAAAGCAAAGCAAGCTCAGGGTGGATCACGAAGTCACCACACACTCTGAGCACAAACAAATGGCCACAAGGCCAGTTCACATGCAGAGTTATATAATGCAGAACAAGCAAGACAGTTATCAAAACCTAGCAAGTGCAAGCATGCAGGTATAAGTATATAGATCACAGTACAAGCAAAGTCAAGAAGTGAGCAAGTGAGGCCAAGTAGGCACAAGACATAAAACAGTACAGAAACGTTGATGATCACAAGGCTGAAGTGCCTTGGTGAAGATATCAGCAGTGTTGGCCCGAGAGGCCACGTAAACAAGACGAAGCTGACCACGCTGCTGCAACTCACGAGCAAGGAAGTAGCGCAGAGCGATGTGCTTCGTCCTGTGCTCCAGTCTGTGCTCCTAACACAAGACAATCATGACCGTGTTGTCGACGTACAGGACTGGAGGAGAACGAGGCGGCTCTCCCAAGTCTGTCACCAGGTAGGTGAGCCAGCGTAACTCCTGTGCAGCCATGGCCCCTGTGTAGATCTCAGCCTCACAACTGGAGCTCAAAACAGAAGACGAGTAGGTAGACCGCCAAGAAACAAAGCCGGAGCCAAGGCTGAACGTGTAACCCTATGACGACCGCTGCGTAGCCAAGTCGTCAACCCAAGAGGCGTCTGCATGTCCAGTGAGGACAACTGGACCTCGTCCTCGAAGCACGAGCCCCATGCCCGACGTACTGCACAAGTAGCGCATCACCCTCTTCGCGGCCTTCCAATGCTCTGGTAGGTGTCTCCCGGGCGCAACGTAGCATGCCAGGATGCTAAGAGGGTAAGCAAGGTCAGGTCGAGTGCAGGTCATCAGGTACATGAGGCAACCCACAAGCTCTGGATACGGGCCACTCGGCTCTACGGACACGTCCGAAGGTGGAGCTGAGAGCGAGTGACCGGTAGGCAGAGGAGTGGACTGTGGCGAGGAGCACTGGAAGTCCAAGCGCTGAAGGACCTGGTGCACCATGAGTGACTGAGTCAAGGTAATGGTGCGCCGTGCTCTGTCCCGGGTGATCTGCAAGCCAAGATAGCTGCGCAGCTCACCCAGGTCTGTGCACGTGTGTCTCTTCTGCAGATCCGACTTCACTAGGGCTAGTCCCTCAGTATCAGCAGTGGCAAAGACCAAGTCGTCGACGTACACGAGGATGTAGAACGGCGGCAGCGAAGTGTCGGTGCGTAGAAACAGCGACAGGTCAGCAGTCGAAGGAGCAAACCCAAGAGCCGCAAGCGTCAACCTCAGTGTGTCGTGCCACTCACGAGGCGCCTGGCGGAGACCGTAGACTGGCCGCCGGAGGCTCCACTGGGTACCTGCAGGAAACGACCCAGTGAAGCCAGGTGGGCGGCGCAGCCAGATCTCCTCGTGCAGGCTGCCTTGTAAGAAAGCTGTGCTAAAGTCAAGAGAGTGAAGCTCATGGTCACGCTGAGCGGCGACGTGCAGCAGCACCCGAAGAGTGGTCATCTTTGGGGTAAGGGAGAAGGTCTGGAAGAAGTCAACTCCCTGTCGCTGACTGAAGCCTCGTGCAACGTAACGCGCCTTGAAGACAAGCGAAGAACCCGGCGGCCGCTTCACTCTGAAAATCTACATGCCACTGACAATGTTCGCCCCAGGTGGGGGAACCTCGTCGAAGTAGGTGCCTGTGGACTTCTAGGATGCCATCTCTGCGTCCATGGCTGTCTGCCACTGAGAGGAGTAGGGACCCTCAATCGCCTCTGCGTAAGTGCGCGGGGTCGGGATGTCTGGTGCATCCAGGTCTCCCTCAGGTGCAATCACCATGGACACGAGATGGGGTACAGCAGCTGCAAAACACTCAAAGTCCTCCTGCCTATCCTCAAGGACGTCCATGCCGAGAGCACACTCACCCCCGACGGACGGAAGAAAGACAGACTCAGACGCAACAACAAGACTAGCGGCGTAGTCGAGGCGACAGGCGGCAGCAAAGTCAACAAGCTCAGCAACTAGGGTAGATGCAAAAGTGGACTCAAACGAAGGGTCAGTGACAACAGTGGCTAGAAGACGTGTGACAGTAGGACTGGCAGCACGTGCAAGGTCTAACGGCGGGTCAGGAACGTCAGGAAGAGAGGACGCAGGAGGAGACGGCAGAGGGACACGCTGTGGATCAGAGGAAGGACGAAGTGCCATCTGGTGCATGCCGGAGACAAGAGGAGGACGCTGACGCGGAACACGACGACCAGTGCGAACAGCGCGAACAGGTGACGCAGGACGAGACGCAGGCTCACGAAGCTCTGTAAGACCTCCTGTCTGCTCAGTGTAAGGAGAAGGAGTAGGCAGTGGGGAGGCTGGCTGTAACTGCGACTGCGACTGGTCGGGCGGTGGACACAGTAAGGGAGGAGTAAGGCCAGTAGAGGACGGGAGACCAAGAACCTGCTGAAGCAGTGGAACGAAGTACGGTCGCGGCCGCACAGTGCCTCCAGAACCAGCACCGACAGCACTAGCACCCCCAGGGCCAGCACCTCCAGCTCCAGGGTCTCCAGCTCCAACTCCAACAGCACCACCAGCTCCAGCTCCAGTGCCTCCGGCTCCAACGCCTGCAGCACCTCTAGCTCCAGCAGCTCCAGTACCTCCAGCAGCTCCAGTTCCAGCTCCTCCTGCTCCAACGCCTGCAGCACCTCCAGCTCCAGCAGCTCCAGTACCTCCAGTACGAGCACCTCCGGGACCAGCAGCTCTAGTACATCCAGCAGCTCCAGCTGCAGTGCCTCTAGCAGCTCCAGCTCCAACAGCTCCAGCACCTGCAGCACCACCAGCTCCAGCACCTCCAGTACGAGCACCTCCGAGACCAGCGGCTCCAGCACCTCCAGCAACTCCAGGACCAGCAGCTCCAGCACCTCCGGTACCTCCAGCTCCAGCGCCTCCAGCTCTAGGGTCTCCAGCGGTAGGCCCCCCAGCTCTAGCAGTGTCACTCCGAAGGCTCCGGCGCCGAGCAAACCACTCGCGCAGCTGCGGTGGAGAGAGAGTCTCCCGCCGTGACAAGGCACCCGGAGAGCCTCCAGTAGACAAAGTACCTCCAGGCGCAGCACACTCAGGCTCAGCACCCCCAAGCTCAGCACCCCCAAGCTCCGCACGCTCAGGCTCAGCACCCCCAAGCTCAGCACCCCCAGGCTCCTCACGCTCAGGCTCAGCACCCCCAGGCTCCGCACCCTCAGACCCAGCAACCCCAGGCTCAGCACCCCTAGGCTCCGCACGCTCAGGCTCAGCACCCCCAGGCTCCACACGCTCAGGCTCTGCACCCCCAGACGCAGCACCCCTAGCAGCACCACCCCCAGCAGCACCAGAGTCGACAGCTACCTCAACAGGCTCGACAGGGTCTACCTGAGACACACTTGAGGGAGCAGGACCCTGAGGGGGGAGGGGGTGTACCGGAGGAGGACCTGGTGCGAGGAAGAGCGGCGGGGGGGGGAGAGGGGCAGTGCGGTAGGGGAAGAGACGGTAAAAGGGAACCAACTCGTAAAACGTGACGTCCTGAGAGGGCAGGACACGGCGCGAGGTGGGGTGGTAAAACTGCCAGCCAAGCGCGTCAGGGGGAAAGCCAAGGAAGACGCAGGGAATGGCGCGGGAGGAGAGCTTGTCCGCGGACATATCGCGGACAAAGGCACGAGAGCCCCAGACCCGGAACACCGACGCATCGCCAACCTACCCCGTCCAACGCAGTGTAGGCGAGGTCTCCGGCAAGGAGACACGGGGCCAGAGGTTGAGCTGATGCGCAGCGTACCAGACCGCAAACGGCCACAGAAAGTGGGAGGGCAGCCGCATGGATCATGGAGGTACGAGCGACCTCCATGACTAAGCCAATGCGGCGCTAGCTGACCTGACGCAGACGCAGACGCAGCTACCTGGGGAGGCTCAGTAGTTAG